TTCGTCTCGACAGTAGAATGTGGCACAACTTTGAGACATGTTGGAAGGGAACAATAAAAAGCAACATCTTTGCACTCTATGCGTGGTCTCAACTCACCTTACAGTACACTTGTATTGTTTTTTTTCGTGGAACGTTCAACCCAGCTGAGTCACGCTGACATTCCCGTTGTAAACTTGGCCGGAAGCACTGAGATGACCATTTCTGTTCCACCAAGTGAGGCATCTGTCAAAGCGTTTGCAAGACGTTCCATTCTTTCTGTCGAAGCGTTTGCAAGATGTTCCTTTCTGAAACTAATGATTATCCAAAGGTTAGAGTAAATTCATACAGCTTGTCAAACTTTTCTAATAACGAAATATGGTAACATCCAAAACATGGTCCACTGACTCTCTCAAATACGTTATGTCGAGTCTTCATGGTAGACCAGTAAGCTCAAATATTACTGTATATTCCAGCCCCAGAATACACAAGAGCATCACGCGTGGATTAGACCGTAAAACCAGCCCTGGGAACAATAGGTCTACTTGTGACTAACACCCGGTCATATCGAGCAACTGTTCGGGATTCGTAGAAAGAAGAATGTAGACTTCATGAGAGGCCTACGTTTCTAAGACTGGCATACACGCCTAACATTGCCTGAATAACTCGGATGCTCGTGTAAAAGCGGTTAGTAGATTCTTTCTTCGTCCCTGAATTATCGACTGTCTTAGTGAGCGTAGTGTCACCTAGTGGTGGAATAACGTCCGCCCAAACATAAAATAGCTGGATTTTCCACACTGTAAGAGTGAGTTGACCAATCTGTTGATAAGCGGACAGCTAGTTTGCCCAATTATCCTCAGATACTTCAAAAATAAAGAGGCTTATGACTCGGACAGACGTTGGGCGTGGTTTTTGGAGATAACACACACACTGATTCAGCGGTGGACTTGTGTTTAGCTCAGAGGACACTTATTTAAGCTTTACGTCTCGTGATTTAGTTTGATAATGATCAAAAGTATGGTTATTCAGGACTTTGCATTCTTACGAGGTCTCAGGTCTCTCGAACAGAACACGGTAATTGAGCTAGTGCTTCGGAACCCAAGGTCGGTGTGCAAGGACACTTAGATATAGTATCGAACAACAGATTTCTAGATGAAGCTATCCGTCTCCACACGAAACTTGGCCATTTGCGGCCCATGAGTGGTCAGTTAGAGATCGAACCTCAAGACAGTTCTATCCCGGCCATATTTTGGCTATTCTACGATTGTATGTATCCTAAAATTGCTTGTAAGCTAAATTGTGATAGGTGGATGCATTTTTGCTTCATTCATTTATTCCTAGTTTTATGGGGTTTAAATTACGGCGACTACTCTGGAGAAACCAGTGTTTTTGGAAACGGTTTTTGAATCGTCCTCATATAAAAACGAAAGACATCTTGGCTTTTTGCTTACTGCAACGCGCGAGTGGCAATTTCGACCATTTTGAGTGATTTTGAATGCATTACTTATCGTAAACAACAACACTGATGTTCTTGCAATAACAATAGAACGGAGAAAGTGGCTTTTACCAATACCGTGGATGAATTCTTCACATTTGTGACAGTTTTCAAGTGCTTTCCTCCTCACCGCTGGTGGGATTTGAAAGCCAATGAGTTCTTTCTAGGAACACAAACATTAAAAAAAGGCATTTACGACTGCCATCCACTCGGGTTAGAACAGAATGTGACACAATGGAACGAACACTTTCAACCGGGCGAACGGATTGGGATGACGAACAGTTTGATCGGCTGTCTTGCGGCAGAGCAGTGTTCACAATCTAGATCAAAGACTTCGCCTCGTTGTTTTATGCTGTCTGCAAGTTCGGAGGCTTGTAGGCCCGTATTCACCGATGGAAATCAATGGTTCTTTATTATCACTCAGTCGCGTCCACCTCCTGAATCTACACTTCCTCTTTACTTTTTTGTTCATTCGTCTGGGAGCAGAGAGGCGACCAAAACCATTGCGGTAATCACATATACTCTCAGTGGTTGACTAAACTGAATTAACTCAACGGATTGTTGGAAAACCGTTCAACTGGTACCACGGATTACGTTGACAAGACCCCGTGAGGCCACTTCCGAGCGACGTTTACGACTTTCCTTCTCCAATCGATATTGCTTTCGTTCAGTGTTATCACACCTTTGGCTCAGCGCCTGTACCCTTCATCCTAGTATGAGGACTACTCACGGTCGTTAACCGTGTTTTTGATTTCCGTCTGTCACGTGTCGGTCTGTTTATTTAGATGCAATTATTTTGTGACGCCTGTCACGAAGAGACTGGACCTTACCGTGGTGTAACAGTTTGTGTACCTCGGCGACCCATTGGGCTGGGTGTCCGCGCGACACTCGCAGTCTCATACCACTTCGTCAATGGTCAGAGATCTGACAAGCACAGTCTCTTGGTCCTCCGGGTTGGAGTTTGGAACATGTGTAGCGAAGTGTTTCGTCTCTACATTGCATTTTTAGCCAAATAGCTGCCTTGAGGTCGGGCTTTTGAACCAAATCTAATCGTCCTCCTGTCTAGGTGTTGGCACCCTGGCAGTATCTCAGCCCACGTGCAACCGTGAACTGCAGAAGCATCAGTTTTTGAACACTGATTTCATACTGATGATAATTCCATGACGTGTGTGATAGAACCGATATATACCTTTTCCTGAAACCGTTGCTACGGACTGTTTCGTCACCCTCTGACCTAGCTTCAGATCGCTCGAGTGACACCTAACGCTTGCTCGTTGAACATCAACTGGATCACACTTTTGTTGCAATAACTGATGTTCATGATACAAATATGTTGGTATGGAATCTTACTATCCATCTGAAACTTCTTTTAATATGGCATTTTTCTTACTTTTTATCTAAATGATTGAGAAAACCTGTTGCGAGTATTCTAATAGCACGTGCCCTGCTTTTATCTAGTTTTTTGGGCCGTTCCTCCGGTTTGTGCCAGCCGCTCACCAACCTTGTCCTTTATTTTCAGTGTTCAGTCTCTGTATCTGGACACGACCTTCTTTCATCCTTCCTGGTCTCACATCCCGACCCGGGAATTCGCAGTCTGGTGTGCCGTCCGCCTCATTCGCCAGTGGCTTCAATCATTGGGACTGCCAAGCAGGATTGACGGGTCACTCACTGGGCGATGTCTTGTTTACATATGCCTTCGAACACACTTCGTCTACGAGCATCTTCTGGAATCCCTTGCTACACATCTTGACACGAAGGTATTGTTTTTTTTTTCACCAGGCGCGTCAACTGCGCATGCGTTGCGGTCTTATCTGCGCCCTGTTGGACTTGTTCTGTTCACCAATACTTTAACTATTGTGTGTAATCTGCCGTGCTGTTCTTGATCCAGCCGAGTTCCGAATGTCTGATTGCTTGCGAATCATCAGAATGTTCATATTAGATAACCAGTCAGCTGTAACACCCTTTCGGTGCCTAGCTGCCATGCCACGCGAAGGAAGCACGAGGGCTGGGATACTGCCAGATTGCCCAAGTCTAGACAGGAGAAGTCGAGAGGCAGAGGTCGGGCTCGAACCACAGACCTTCCGGTCAGTAAATTCGCGCTCTAACCACTTGAGCCATCTCGCCCCCAGGATGTTCATATATAACTAGTCAGTGATCTTTTCCGAAGTTTTGCTTATATGGAAGCCTTATGTTTGTAAAATAAACGCGTAATGGGATCTCGAAAACCCAACCGTATGTGACCGTTGCTTGTCATTCGGCCTCATCGGGTGGTTATAGATTGATTGATGACGTAGCATTTTGGTAAACGGTTTCAGGCCGTTACGTTCCGGACCAAAAATCATACTTGGTGAAAATACGTCGGCTGCTCAAATCGGTTTGCGGGTATCCTGTCTGCAGCGTGACAACGGGAATCTACCATCGATTGAGTTACCTATCATGCCCAACTTATGATTCCCATTAGGGACTAATGGCTCCGTCTGGCTGAGACTTCGATATCGGTCCCCATGTCTTCTATGAACACCACAATTGTTCTGATCGTTTTCGAGTTGTGTGGTGATTTGATGCACGAATTTATCGTTCCCTGTCCCCGTAACATTGACCTTGTTGATCCTTATTTTCCGGAGAATAGAAAGTCACCCTATGGCAAAGGTGATGTGTACACTGTTGGGATACAGATCGTTCGGTCCTGAGAAGGGGTACTCAGTGCGATTCAAGCGGAAATCATTCCTCAACACTAGCTGGTGCTCCTTCCTCTCGAACGTGTGACAAAGTACCTGTGTGTTTTATTATTCAACTCGATATTACCCCCCAAATGAAGTACCGCCAAGGTGTGCCTAAACAAAACTGGTCTAATCAGGGGTATGAGAATAACTTTTCATGTTCGAATGATTAATTTCGGGCGAATTAGTCCTAGACTCAGTTTGAATCAAACTTACAGACATTGCGGCTCAGCTTACGCAGCAGTTTTATCACTGGTCCTCATAATCGATGGTTCACTCCAGAAGCAACCATTAGGTTTACTAGTGTTCATACGTAGTCACACATGAGCAAGTTTTGTCAGTTAGGCTGACAGGATTATCATCCTTCAAACGCTTGTGACAATTGCGCAGAAAGCGCATTCCAGTGACCCTTTGTTATGAAACCTTGCAGGATGATTCTGTGATACCCCCTAATTAAGTTAGTAATCCTACATTCAAACTGGTAACGCTAAATTTTCCCTCAGCCTGTTGGTCTCACCTGATGAGAAGTCTATTTTGTGTCCAGAGGTGTGCTCTGGTAGCAGTAGCGGCTTTTAATTACTTTTCTCTTATGGTAAGGTGTAGAAGGTGTCATCGCCACCGGACATCGTCACCGGAAATCGTTCGAACGTGACACACATGTACGTACGCTAACCCGACCAATCAACATTTAAATGTATGCGTTGCTGATCAGCTAACATTAATTCGACGATCTATGCAATTTAAAATTGTGCATTGGTACAATGGGACATGGAATGTGAGCCACTCTGTGTGGATTCTCTCCTTTTAGATCTATGTTAGTCCCAAAATGGCCGAGTTGTACTCGCACCTATCGGAGCATGTGGTGGCAACTCACCTTTGCTCAGATCCCGATGCAACCTGGATACATGTCTGTTCTGAACGGAAAGTAAGTTGCTGTCTACGCAATAGTAGCACTTGTTCTGTCTATATCGCTTCCTCTCTGCTGGGTGGCTAACGTCTCCTGGCCGATGTGGTCGGCCTTTTTCGGGTGCAGCTGCAAAATCTACGGTTTTTTACTAACTACTTGAGTTCTGTTAGTAGCGAAAGTTAGACCTAATTACATGCGCTCACCGAATTGGTTTCTTTTGGCCCTCTTATAAACACCCCTTTCAAGTAATTTTCTCCAAGTCTAGAGACGGAACAGAATACCCTCGATTCTAACTGAAAATCCTCACCTTTGGGACCTCATTCTTTCAGGGAGCACCAAATTTTAGCGCCACATCTGCATAGTGCCATAAGAAACAGTCGGAAATTCGAAGCAATAGATGGGGGTTGTCCCACTAGCTTCCTGGATTTAAACATGATGGAGCGCAGCTAACGACTTTTGGCTGTTTGCACACCCATGGATTCGGATTACTTTCCTCCCCAGTACGAAGTCAGGGTGTGAGTTAAGTCCGTGAAGAGTGAAATTTTTGATGGTTAATTGTGAAACTTCACGGATGATCTGGTATCCGCAAGTCCATGAATTTAGAATTTAATTAGATATTAGCTCGAAAAATTCAAGCCACGCGATCCTTTTCACATTGTTATATCTGCTGGTTCGCCGACCTGTGGTATCTGCTGCTAACCCGCTCCAGTGCCTAGTACCGGAGAAAAAAGACTCACAGAAGGGAACACAACAGCTATATCCCGAACAAGCGAGTGCAAGAGCAAGTTACAACGGTACCACGGTCCCATTTAAAGGGGCTTTCTGACACTGATCCAGGCTGCCAGATAGGCGTTAGTGAACACCCATCAACGTCGATCGTGCCTCTATGAAATGCCTGAACTTATGGGGACTGGTCTCATGGACCTTCAACTATGTGCGGTTTACCTGAACATCACGCTCTATCCATCGACTATCGTGTGTAATTTTTAGGGGTTCGGCCAGTGAAGCTACTGTTGACTTTAGCGGGTAACCTAGCTACTCATGAATGTAATCAGGTTTGTCACATGTTGGATACTTAGGGTGAACAGTAAATGTTTGTTATACTGCAGGCTGGTTTGTCCCATGCCACCCGAGCCCTCCGGATTCACCTCTGAGTGCTTCCCAGCGTAATACTTTGTTCCACTAACTGTTTTGCATGACTTACAGTGCTCTGAATCTTCCCTTCACCCCTCAAATCATCAGCACACACATGGTGCACGACGGGTAGGTAGGCAGCGAAACAGCTCCAGTTACCACAAGCGATTCGAAAAACGGAAAAGGGGTCGTCTTCCATCAATTCCTGCAACCCACCTAAATGAAAACGTCGAAGAAACTTGGACTGAGGCGATCCAGTGTGTCCCTACCCTCACCATCATCCCGACGGCTATGTGGTTTGGACTGTCGCACCACGCACTCCAATCTCGTGGTTTCGCATTTGTACCATCTCGAAATCCGTGTGAGAAAGTAGTGCGTCTACTCTACTGCACTCACGCGTCTTACTCCGAACTGATTGAATTTGTGCGGCGGCTACGTCCCAGAAATGCAGTCGCATGTGTTGTTCCCCGTGGAGACACAGAGGAGACGGTAGGTCAACGTTTTGATTTTCCGTCGTTTTACTCACCTTTTTATTACTTCATGGTAGGTGAGTGTTTGGTAGGTCTTTCACCATGCTTATTCAGCAGTTTCTTTGTTACAGTCTTCGAATTCGAAGCGCACGGATCATTTCTACACCTCAGCAATCGAGTGTTCATAAAACTAACGCAAAGTGACGAACGACAGTGTTTTCGTGCTTAAATAGATACATATTAAGAGGTGGAAGTACGACTTACGGTGGAGTGGACAGAATCTTATCGTCATAAGAGAACCCAGGAAGATAGCTTCACTAACTCTTCAAAAGAGACCATTCTGAGAAAGAAGACACTGATCACCCGTTGGAGGTTGGCTTTTCTCGGCAGGTGGTCGTTACTGCCGGCCAATGCTGTTATAAGCTCTAGTACAGTGACCTCTCTTTGACGTCCTTTTTGGGAGGGAGCTACTCATTGTAGTACTTTGACTGCCAAGGTATCAATCATATCGTAACGTATTGGAAAGAAAAATTCAGCGGATGTAGGCAATTTGGTTTAGAAGTGGTAGCGTGTTTGCCCCGAAGCAACTGCTTACCGGATCCCGTAGGGGTTTCAGCTGCACGTCAAGAGAGCAACATCCACTCCAACCACGAGGTCACACTGGCTAGACTAATCACATTCCCTTCGCGTTGTCGTCTCACCCTCCGTGTCCATCACGGATCTTTCGCTAACTGGAGTTCGAGGTTAGAAACAGGGTTCTTTCGGTAGAAGGTATGGTATACGGCTGTACCCTACTGGGGCGAGATGGCTCAAGTGGTTAGAGCGCGAATTTACTGACCGGAAGGTCCGTGGTTCAAACCCGACCTCTGCCTCTCGACTTCCCCTGTCTAGACTTGGGCAACCTGACAGTATCCCACCCCTGGTGCTTCCTTCGGGTAGCATGGCAACTAGGCACCGAAAGGGTGTTACAACTGAACGGTTTTTTGTAACGTATTTGTCTGTCAAGCTTTATTTTCTGCTTCGGCACTGTCGTTTTATCGTGGTTACTTTGTTGATGAGACATCAGCTACGCTTGCTCTTGTCACACTACGTCACCAAATTCTGAATCGTGGTATGCGGTGAGGATTCCGTTGGTTTTACCATGGACATTGCTGGCCAACAGGAATATCCGTTACTCCAAGTTTTTTACGAGTCGACTGAATACTGGAGGTTATCGTGGGCCCTATTAGTGCATAGGTGATGATAGCCATAATACAAATCAGAAGGTGTATGTGCACTAATAAAAGTTTTTAGTATGATTGACACTGGAGGGTTGCAACACGTATAAAAATAAATACATTTCGAAATGGGAGCAAGTCAAAAGGGAACTTATTGTATGCGAGAGTCCCTTGGTGAATGTCCGGACGAAGGGAACGTGTTTTCTCCGCAGATTGGGTGCTACACGTGTTCCATAGTTGTCCGTGGACTTGGGGTGTTTGGCTGACTCCTTGCTCCCTGCGCGCGCTCGAGTCTGTTTGTGCCGACTGTGTTCGGTTTCCCTATATGTAGGTCCGTTTGCGCGTACGTGGTTGCGTCAGCACGTGAGTGATTGGTAAGCTCACTAGACGGTGCAGACAATCGATGTCCGATGAGTCACCTTAATGTGACGTGGTTGTGGGCATGAAAAAGAGACAAGTCCCGTGATCCAGTGAGCGACAGTGAGCTGAATAGTCAAGTGTGTGGGTGACTGGGTCGATACAGGCTGCATCTCTGCGAACGACACAACCTACCTAATTGATGTTCTCGGCAGCGCTTGGACCACAACTGACAGTGCTTCTGGGATCGGGAGTTGTGCGTCCAATACAGCGTTCGATACACATACATTTCGAACGGTTCTCATTCCAGCTGATTCTAACGTCAAGGACGAAGTAGAAAGCCACATCACTCATAGTGGCTTTCCTCAAACAGAAGAATGTGTTGCAGCACAACATAGAGGTCAGCTTGGCAATCCGCTATTCGTTTCGTCCTGCCTTGCGGATGCGAAGTCTGTGCGGATCAGCGCTTCTTAACTACAGTTGTTGGAAGACTCTCAATAAGGCGGTCGACTGTCTTAACGGGTTTCTCACCAGCGCTGTTCTTTTTTTTAGTACAAGCCACTACGTACCTCCTATAGAGTGGACTACGGTGTTTTGAGCACCACACCAAAGTCAGGTGCATGGTGAACTGTTCAGTTTTTGTACTCCCTGGGCGCACGGATGTGGCCAAAGCCGACCAGATAGGAACAATCCGAAAAGCAAGGATTTGGCTCGAATCACAGAATTTGTGCCTTTATCTCTGCGCTATGTCGGTGTCTAGTGTGGTCCATAGGGAACTCTCAGGTTGCTTCGAGGGCCTCAATAGATGAATCATAAGGTCGGTATCAAATGGAGGCTTTCAGTCTTGGGTCAGAATTAAGGAAGGTGGTTTGGAAGCTGCGCATGCTTCTACGTTGACTCCTCTTTCAGATTACCGTTCACTCACTGGCTGTTTCATGAAATCTAATTAAAGTTGAGATTGCAGTTTATTGAGCTGGCTCAAAATTTCTATTCAACACGCTGAACCAAATAAGACCCCGTGATCATTGTTTTTTTACAAATGAATTAATTTATTTTAGTTGAATACGGGTTCGATTTCCTTGATCGTCACTCGTCCTCCACGCCACCGTACGACTGTTTTTCAGTTTGATTCCACACTTTGGTACTAACAAATGTGGGTATCGAGTGGCCCGATCTCTCGTACATTTAGGTACGGATACCGATGTTCACGAGACGGGACCGGTGTAATTAATCCATGTATCCTGTCGGTTACATTTGAAAAGTGCAGCGTTGAGACACTCACACATCCTCTCATAGGAGGCCGATGAACACAGTCACCTCACCTGTCGGATTGAAGCGTGCACGCTGTCTTGTCGCAAAAACTGATGCTACTAAGCTGGTGCCCACCGGCTACGGGTTGAGCGTTTGAGCTAACATCTTTCGCTGTTATTTGCCTTGCCCTGGTTTAATCCCTTCAATTTTAAGCGTTCCGGGACCAATGTATGCCGCATGCAAACTCAGACAGGTGAGGATTCTGTTTGGCGAATGATTCTGTTCTCCATATTGCCGATGGTCCGATGATGTGGAGGCTGTATTATCCCTCATTTCGACGATAATTTTGTAAGGAAAACGTTTCGCTGAGGAGACACATTCGTTTGAAAGGACGCGAACAAGTCAATCTCTTTATTTGTAATATTGCACAAGAATTTGGCAACCCTATCGATGACCGTTTTTTGTAGCGCATTATTTCCAAATTTTCCGCTTTATGATTTTCATTCTCTCCCTTTCTGATTTCTTTCTCACACAGCAGGTCCAAGCTCGACTGGATCGACTTGTAAGGGAAGTACAGATGGTCGAACAGAACATATCTCCGTCCACCGTCGGATCATTAGTTGATTGTTGTGCAAAGAATTCCGCCACTGGATCGCCATTCATGGAAAGCTTTTGTGAGTTTCCCTTTTCTCCCAGAGAGGGGCAAGATGGCTCAAGTGGTTAGAGCGCGAATTTACTGACCGGAGGGTCCGTGGTTCGACCCCGACCCCTGCCTCTCGACTTCCCCTGTCTAGGCTTGGGCAACCTGACAGTATCCCAGCCCTCGTGCTTCCTTCGGGTGACATGGCAGCTAGGCACCGGAAAGGTGTTTCAGCTGAACGGTTCTTTCCCCCAAGGAGAATGATGCTCGGGTAGCTTCTTTCGTATCTCGGGGAGCTCTGTTCAGCTGAACGGTTCTTTCCCCCAGGGAGAATGATGCTCGGGTAGCTTCTTTCGTATCTCGGGGAGCTCTGTTTATGTATGCGCCAACGTTTCTAACACCAGCTGGCAACCCCTGAAACCGAATGCCTTCATCGATTAGGTCACTTTGAGACTACTCATTGGTTTGATGGAAACTTTTGAACTATCCTCTTTGTCTTTTTCTGGGGCTTATCCGAGAATCTTCTATGGGTCACACTTTGCATTTGAGCGCCAAATATGAAGAGAAAAGCAAATTACACCTTTAGGAGACTCATCTGAAACTCATCATCAGCTGATTTTCTCGTTTTTACCATTCTTCGGTATAGTATACTTCACAAGAGATTCTCATCTTTCACTGGGAAGGCCACTTAAGACATTGACCGGTGGTATATAAAGTACAGCCTATCTAGTCCTCATTTGCTCAAATTCCGTAGCACTTTTAGCTCTAGTTGGGAACAATGCTTTTGTTGATAAGATAGCAGACAGTGAACCGTGGGTGGAAGTGGAGGAGATTGTTCAAGCGTTATCGCGATACGTTGCTGACGTCGGTCACTGTCAACCGGGTGGTTCATTCGTTGTCCTTTTGGTAACCGTTTGTCAGCAGGTTTAATCAGACAGATCACCCGGAAATCTCTACGTAAACAGGGCAGGGGGATAGTTTTCAGACATATCTGTTTCTGAAAAGAGAAACGGTTTATTGCCGGTCGTCATAAAAGTGGAAAGTTTGTATAAGGTATGTTGAATTTGATTCATCTAACCTGTGTCTATAAGCAGCTTGATCCGCAAAGTGTCTCTATTTCAGTGAATACCAGGTTGACTGGTACACAGGGGTGCAAAATGGCTATGCGTACTTGAGAGCTGTTCAGCGTTGTAAACACCTCAGTTTTCTTTGTTTTCCGTGGGGATTCATTTCCATTTTGTACGACACTGCTGTCCTTCCGAATTATTTACTCAACTTTACTTAATTCACCCAGCTCTAGGGCATTCTGCATGCTGGGGTTTGGTGGCTATTCACCGTTATTTTTCTGTTATATATGTACCCTTGGTAAACTCTTTGAAGGGAATGCACTTTTCGGGGGAGATTCAGCGTTCCACCAGGTCGTACCAGAATCTCCGTGAGGGGGCGAGAAGCGTCGAGTCAAAGGTGCTTGATTCGGATTGCCTGGCATTCTGACCACTCAGGGTATGCCTTCGTTTGGCCCGTGTCCTGCACGTGACACATCCGTCCAAATGATGTGATGTTCGATTATTAGGGATGGCTGGTCTCCGTACAGACTGAAAGACGCTGGTAATATCGCTGGCCCCCACATCTCCACAGTTCTGCGAGATTCCGTTCCCATAGGCGTCAACGAACCGGAGTATTGTAGTTAATGGTTCAACTTTCACCAGAGGAAATGTCGTGTTAAATTATACGCCAAAGCGTAAGCAGCTCAGAAGGTTGAACAAATCACACGACGTATGTACCTTCCATCTGAGAGAATGCCATTCGGTAGCCAGTCAACAAATGACTACGTGATATGAATTCCGTGTTTGAAGGATAAATGGTGGTATATTCCATCCGTCTGTGGCTTAATCCCCTGTTCAGCAGTCATTAGTGATCGAACGGTTGCGAGTTCGAAGCTCTAGAGTGCGTGCCACTGATGATTCCAGATAAGGATGGAATAACTGCAATTCTCCTCGGTTTTTCGACATAGATTGGTTCCCCTTCACAGGATGAACTATCGAATAAAGCAAAAGCGTTTTTGTGGAAAAATCCAGAAGGTGCCCGGTGATTTTACTTACTGTCCGACTCTTCGACGAGCCTTTTTCGAGGACAAACGGCTGGTATTAACAAGTCACCGAATTTATCAGATCAGTGTGATGTGGTTTTTCATCGGTTCAGTCCCTCCTTTCGTGCTGCGTGTGTATTTTTACGTCTGCATCGTCGGTGTGTGAATGCATTACACCTGGCCTCATTGTTGGGTTCTTAGCTCACACGCTGCTCACCTTTGTGTGCCAAATCAACGGGAGTCAGCTGGCAGATAACCTGACATCAGACTTCCTAATGCAGGATCGTCAGGTTGGATTATGTTCTTTTTCCAGAGGAGGGCTAATAACTGTGGGAGCTAACGGTGAAAGGAAGAAAGTCTTCGCTGCGGAGTTACTTATTTAAAAAAATGCCAACTGACAACTTACAGACTATTGGACAGGGAAGCAAAACTCTCATTTGCATCTTATTTACAAAAACTAAACATCCATCTTCTCTTGAACGCGTCTTCCTGAACTTTCTTGAATATTTATTGACTGACTACTGATGGGAGGGCATAAATCGTAAATCCGCTCTGCGTCTCATGAAAAGTGAGATCTACTACGGAATTTGTGGATTCGCATTTGCTTGGGTTTGAGCAACAGTTCAATAGTATCACGGTATCCATTGAACTCACTTGTGCCTGTGGCTTGCCACACACGTAGCATGACAATACCCACATGCTGACTTTGACAGTCAAAGTTTTCTAAGGTAGTTTGTTCAAGATAAAAGCTAAACTTTCAACCGATAAGACAGCAAGTTTTGGGGTAGATAGTGTGATCATCTGATACGAGGATAGGAAAGTCGATCTCTCCAGTGTTTGGATTCATGTCGGACTACGAGGCACGATTCACACCTTTTCCGATCGCCGTGATACAGGTAGACAGTGGTGAAACGCTCGCCAAATTCTTTCCCGGAAGGTGACTACAAGGCTCTTACTGAAAGTGGTTTGGAAGTCAAAGGACTGTTCAAAACACGTAAGGTTTTGCAATTAGACGACGCATTTCAACAACGGTGTGAATTACCATAAGCTTTCTTCAAACCGAAACATAATACCAAAGGTGCCCTGTCGCTTTCTGGAAAACCAAACAGTGCTTTTCAAGATATTACTGTGGCTGGCGCACTGTGCACTCGTCTCTCTCAGTGGTTAGAGCGTGAATTTACTGACCGGAAGATCCGTGGTTCGAACCCGACCTCTGCCTCCCGAATTCCCCTGTCTAGGTTTGGGTAACCTGACAGTATCCCAGCCCTCGTGCCTCCTTCGTGTGGCATGGCAGCTAGGCACCGAAAGGGTGCTGCAGCTGAACGATTTTTTCGATTTCGCAATATGATTGGTATTTCCGAATTCACGCCACTACCAGTAGAGGTGTTACATTTAATAAGCAACTCACGAAGCAGCCCTGTAGTGCCTCAACCTTCGCAGTGCCGGACAGCATAGAACCGGAGCAATTTGCTTTTTTTGAACGCCCATTTATTTGGCTGTTTGAGATAGGCCTCGTGTTATTCATCGTCCACTAGCTTCGCTTGTCTGTGGATCAGACGATTTTTTGATCGTAACCGTTAGAGCATTCTCTCGCCTGGTCGCCCCCCCACACACCGGTTGTTGGCCAGTCCCATGGATATTTCACCACAAGTTAAATGTAATATGTCTTTTGATTTGTGAGGTGTCCTGATGCCAGTCAAACCCAGTTTCCAGCACTCCGAGTCTTTGAAATGTATTACCGTTCCACAATTTGGACACCATCGCGTCGATCAACCTAAATTTGTTGCTATTGTTCATTCTCAGGCACGCGTGATTTGGGTCATGTTATCTTACCCACCCTATTAAGTTCATGTTTCCCTCGCGCTGGCTTTGTTTGACACAGCGTACCCTCTCTCTCTCTGGTAGAGTGATGGACGTTCATTTGGTTGGGGCGGGCTTGTCGATTGCCAAGTTGCGTGATTCTGCTGCCAGTGACCGGAACTGGAGCGACCGATGGTTGTCATGTGCAGAATTATTTAACTGTGTCCTTCCTTGATTCACTCCCACCTGTTACCTTTCGAGCAGGCGATTAGCGTTTATGCAGCTTCGTTTCAATTCACTTGTGAGTGTGTATATATGTATATATATGCGGATGGCCAGCTGTCCTGAGAAAACGGGACATGGTGTGCAACGTGTTCTCAGGCTGATTTCCGTCATCCGTTTTCCTTAGCTGTGTCATTTTCTAGACCTGCTGCTTCGGTATAAAGTCCTGGAAAACCGGTCATCAGGATATGAATTCGGTTTTGACAGAAGACCCAGATGAATCCAGCTGAATCTCGGTTATTGTGGTCCTATTGAACCGCATATACTTCAATTGGATGAAGCGGATGGGTGATTCAGCCGGATTCAGTTGGATCTCCTGCCAAGATGGCTACCTGATGGGACCCAAGAAGGGCGAAACCGACTGTGGGCTGTCGAATAGTTTTCAGCAGCCTTGTGAGTAGTGTTATCAGGATGTGTAGAACACAAGCTTAGTACCCTGCAGCTGACAGAACAAAACGGCAATCCAAACTGGGCATTGGAGTTTTCCCGGTTCAGATGACCTTAAACGAACAATTCGAACTGTGGCTGGTTGGAGCGTAAACAGCCAAACAACGGTTCTTAACCGGGGGTCAGGCTCAACGTTTCAAGGGGCCATGAAGGTCGCGGATTCGATGATTCGTGTGTCGACAATATTGTTGTTAAGTCCGGTTCACATCGTGTTTGAACCACGCGGCGTTCACTTTTACTCACTTTATGATATTCGCCTTACATGTAGGATTGATAATTTTTGTATTCCTTCTATGTTTCCATGTCGAGAGTAGCACATTGGTTGATCAAAATATGAAGAAGATGGCGCTCCAAGCACTACTGGGTGGTCACTTTAGCTGCAAGCTACGCTTTCTTACTTTTTACAGCGCTACCACGGTAGCGATCATCATTTACTTTTGTAAAAGAACTAAAATTTAGCTTCGTATTGAAACGACGCTTTTGGGTCAGGCAGGGTAGGATGGCCTGGTGACCGTGTGCTACTCGAGGTGCACAGGCCTAGAAATGCTCTAAAAGACCCTAAAAGTACCATCCGAAACGGTCGAAAGTCCGATAGTAGGTTTGCCGGAAATCACGATACGGACACCTGGTGTCGAATCGAATTGCAACATAACCAGCTGGTCATCGTTTTCTGTGAATAACCCCGTGTCTTTATCACATTATACCAGTGAAAGTTCATGTTGACACGAGTTTATGTCGAAAAACCATTCGGTCTTTTTTGCAATCTGGAATTGCTTTTTCTGCACCTGTTTTTGCCTGTGTCAATTCCACACAGCTGGTAGGTTACTCATTGAACAAGTTTGTTTTGACTTGTGTTTACATCCCATTCCAGTTTAGTAGCTGCGATCATCTCTGTTTTTTCCATTCCCCTTATTACAGTGAGGTTTGCTGAACACCGGAGGCAAATTCTCGCCTTTTCGGGACAAGAATTGCCCGCTGATGACCCTTCCGGGTTGGATTTCGTATTCAGTTAGATCGGTGCCTTACTACACTGCAACCGTTACACTACACCGCTCGATCTCGTCTTGTCCTTCATCCGCAGTGATATTGTTCGGTCAGTTCACCCGGGAACTTGACAGACTACTTATTACTCTGTGATTTCCTTACCTTTTTTAAAATCCAGTTTTTCTGCTTTTGTCTGTATTTGGCAAAGATGTTAACCTTGTGAATTGTTCCGGTTGTTTTCCGTCGCGCACTTTCATTCTGCTGTTTTTGTTCTGGCGATGGCCCTGAACCAATTTTTCGTGAATTTTATAAAAGTTCTGCCATTATAAGATCGCTACTTGCGGGATTTTAAAACGTCAAAGTTGGAAAACGCAGCCAAAATGAACGAAAACCTCGACGACTTTACAAATGTGATAGATATACGATCGTTATACTGCGGTTGACTTGATATTATTCGAAACGCTTCATTCCCTCATTGTGCATGCATATCTATAGAAGAGGATCCCTTGAGGATGAAATATAAGAGGTGCCTTGGATCGGTGCTTCATTTGTCGTTCTCAACTGTGGGGGAGAAATCCCAGTGTCAGACAAGTTCTATAAAAAATGGGTGGTGATTTTGACACATCGACTGCGTTGGCTTGAGTCAAATGCGACGGAAGTCGCAAGGTTCCAAATTGGAACATCTCTGTGATCTCGAATGGAAGAGAATTCAGCTCGCTGGACAGAACAGGTCAGGTGTGTGATTTTGGCATTTTAAGGTTTACAGGACGTCTATACATTTGGGCACCGGAACAATAGGCTGGCTAAGGCGATTTCAGAGGCAAGCGTTTCTAACACATGATCGGGGACTCAGTTACACCATTTGTTCCCCTATCCGGCCTTTGCCTCCACACTAAGGATTAACCAATGAACCGTCGGATCGTTTTGCCTAGAAGATCGATGATTTCCTGTCGAAACTTGTGAGTACTGCAGTCTTTCAGGATCCGAGATGGTCCATTCGTCTTTGTGCGAGGTTACTGACCACAAGCTTTGTCCAGGACATAAGCCTGGCTTTTCACTTGTTTCCTTGTGTACAACCTGGCTGTCAGGATGCGGCCAGACATGGAAAAAGTATATGTCCAGAGAGTGACGCATCCCCAAGGTCACCGTCGGTACGACACGTTCGGAAAGCAGGTGCGTTGGCGGAGCTCACCAAACGCGGCTTAGCAACATAAGACCAGTGGAATGGGGCTGAAACTTCACGACCGGAACACCGACATTGGCTGTACAGAACGAACAAGTGAACGACCATATTTGGCGATTTAGTCATCCTATATATTTACGCAGAAGCTCTATGTTTTGTCCTGATAATGCAGTCGTGTCTCGAGTTCTCCATCTTCTCCTTATCGCGTAGTCTGGCAGGCTCAGTTCAGGCGTAACCAATATACGGCCACCCAAGATACAACACTGACCATCTGTCAAGACCAGTGGAATGGGGCTGAAATTGTTCACGACCGGAACACCGACATTGGCTGTACAGAACGAACAAGTGAACGACCATATTTGGCGATTTAGTCATCCTATATATTTACGCAGAAGCTCTATGTTTTGTCCTGACAATGCAGTCGTGTCTCGAGTTCTCCATCTTCTCCTTATCGCGTAGTCTGGCAGGCTCAGTTCAGGCGTAACCAATAGACGGCCACCCAAGATACAACACTGACCATCTTTCAACCTTCATGCATTCCTCGTGTCCCACGCAAGCACCAGGACGGTGCTACGGCTGAACGGTTTCATTCGAATCTCCCTGGAAGGTCTACCAACGGGTTAGTAAAGCTAGCTTGTCAGCGGTTCTAGTTGAGTCCAGTGGAGGGCATCCGTCTTTGTGACGAAGATGGAGAGGTTATAATTTGCGGTTCTTGGAATATTTTTGAGAATTAAATGCAATAACTATGTTGAGATATAATTTTCTATGACTCAAAAGGTTGATTCAAACCGCTGATCTAACCAGCAAACTGCCAACTCGCACAGACAGTGGGACTTTGTGATCCGTCTTCACGTAAAGTCTCGACTGTCAAGCGATTAGTTCGATCGTCAGCTGGGAAACCTGGGTGTGACAGCTCCATCTACCCTGTTGACGTGATTTACTATGAGTCTAGACACTACGGTCCGTGTCAGGCCTGTTAAAACATCCGTGGTGCTTCGCGATATTCAATCCATCCTCGTTTTCATACTCTCCGCGCCGCACCAAATGGCGATGCCGCCTGCCTCCGCACTTACAGTTTGTCTGGTATTTGGCGGTAGCATGGGGAGATGTCCAATTTCCAGCAGTGGTTTTCTCATGCATTTGAGATAAGTCTGTCCTGAAAAGCCGGGAACCATCAGCGACGTGCATCTCACGAATACCCAGGAGGACTTGACCATCAAACCGTGAGCACTTTTCCAGAAGGGGAGGTGCCTCACAGCTGGCACTAGCCGTCTATCTAGGAAATCGCCACCTGAGGTGCCAGTCAACGCGTGGTGAGGTGTTATGAACTACCCGATTGCAAGCCCTGTGGCACCATATCCTGTCCACCGTTAATCAAATGGTATAGATACTTCAACTAGTAGGTGAGAGGTCGCGGGCTCGAATCTCCCTAAAAGTTCAAGAGATGTCTGATATTTTCGTGTTCTAATGGGTCTTTTGTTGCTTGTGTGCCCTTTTCGCCTCTGTTTTCTCTCCAAATTCCTTGTGCGTCCAGGTTGCTTTTATTTTGGTGCTCCGTATTCCTATTACGCTCAGATTATCATTCTGAACTGCCAACATTCCTATCGACACTCAGCCCAATATTGATGAAAAGCTATCAACATCATGCAGCACCGGTCCATATGAAGCTGTATCCTCACTGTCAACAATGGAAACTGAAACAAAAAAAGCTCAGTAATGCAACAAACCCCTGCCTTGTGAGAACGCGCATCGTGGGGTTGGCGGTCAAGTACACCGGTTTGAAACAAACCAGGTGGAGTTTGGACGAGATTAGTGTTGACACAGTTGTTCCGGTAAATAATGTTTCTACAGGTAATAAACAGCACCAGCATTATCAATTTGGGAACCTCCCCTCAACTTCACAAGGCAAGACATAGATTCATAGTTCTATTCTTAGGCGTTGTTTTGTGCTCTTTGTTCGGGTTAGCGGAGTTTATCCAACTGTTACGCACCACCGATGGTCCGAACACTTGGACAATCTCTGTGGAGAGGTTGGCCTATTCGAGCAGCGGAACTGAGACGTCTTCAGGTGTTCGACAATCGTTGTCTCAGAACCATAGCTCGTGTGGGTTGGTGTCGGCGAATCCGTAACGAGGCAGTTAGAAAGCGCGTTTTCGGTTGTGTAACGGGTACTTCCATTGAAGAATGTGTCCAGCACCAGAAGCTGCGTTGGTTGGGACATGTTTTACGCATGCCGAATCATCGTTTACCGAAAAGAGTACTATTTTCCATACCCAATTCGGAGTGGCGTAAACAGAGAGGTGGCCAACCCATGACCTGGCAGAGGAGTATGAAGGAGATGACGAAACGCTTGGGTGCTGTCGGTGCTACTCGCCTTCCAGGATGGGGACCGCGTGATCCTCACTGTGCCTGGTTGGAGACACTACGAGATATGGCTGCCAACCGATGTCAGTGGCGTTCTTGTTGTCAGTTTCTATCCAGATTGCCTGAATGAGTGTTTGAAGATGTAGGCACCTCGTAATGATTGTGGTAAGCTAGTGCTAAGTCCCCTCCCCGTCCACCTTTACTCTTTTCTTTACAATAAGGCTTTCAAATAAACCACAGTTGTGCGGCAGTGAAGCATCTGTGTTGAACACTGATGTCATGCTGTCGATGATGATTACTGGAGAGGATTCACGGTGTAGAGTAGTCGCGGCACCGTTTAAGTCAGTATGTTTCGATGAGGCAATGAAGGTACCCCTTCGGTGTCCTGAAAGAGCATATGTTTCTTCCAACAAATAACAAGATGAACTGTTTGCTTTTTGACATTCTTCTAACAGCGGAGGTTTGACCAACCGGGAGTGCTCACGAGTCCGGTGACATGATTCTCAGCTGCGCCACTCATATAATTATTTTCTTTCAGTTGTCTCCTTGCTGAGAGCAACCGAAGCGATTGAAAAAAGTGGTCTCCTGTGCGGGATCCGTGGAATTGAACGTTCGCATATTGGGAGAAGTGGACAGAAAGTTCTAGGTTTCGCCACGCCTGTTCCGTACATATGTGTTGTTGGCCGTTTCAGGTTCAACTGATGGTTTGTAACAAGTTAGGACTACTCTATTCCCTTCGGTTGGACCTCGGTAGCCTGGTATTACTCACCCGTCATTGGTATCTCATAACAAGTGTGCGTCTCGAGTTTACGACACGTGAACACATGGCACGTATTTAGGTATCGACGGTTCCCCTTCGGTTAGACCTCGATAGCCTGGCACTACTCAGCCGTCATTGGGATCTCATAACAAGTGTGCGCTTCGAGTTTGCGACACATGGCACGTATTTAGGTATCGACGGTGTATGCACTCGTATCCGATTAGACAGTGCGTTTACACTGACAGTTGTTACGACTTTTCAGGCCTCTCAACGCACGATTACGTGTAGACTGCTACAACGCTCACTTTCGTTTTGATCGGGATAATTTCCTCGACATAGGCTCGTAGGATTAATTACGAAAACCGCACAACGCTTTTTTTTTTACAGTTTTCTTCATCACGATGACTGTTGTCTTGTTCCCGTGCGGTGTGTTCAACCGGACAGAGGAGAAAAGAGCGACGCAAACACTCCGCCGTTAATCAATCTGGTCAGTCAGTTACCTGTCATTCTGATTGATACGCATTTGCTTGATTTCATTACGTTTGTCCATTTGTCCCCAGAGTTGGCGTACTACGCAGCTCTAGATTTCTACTTGCGGTGTAGTGTGAATGTCTCCACAAGGGCATTAAACAAGGGTTTCCCTACTTGGCAATGGTGATCGAAATCAAATCATTATTTATCTATCTGCACGTGAGATCTTGGAAGCCGTCTAACTGGAGAGTAGTGGGAGAGATAACCCCACCCAATGTGTCTCATTTTTCGTTGGATATCTTCAGAACTTCCGACAAAAAATCAGGGCTAAATAAAAACAAATAAGCTGCCATTGGAAGCTCGTGAGGACTATTTGTTTTTTTCCTTCTATTTTGAATTACGGGAAAATCGGTGTCCAACTGCGTGATGCTCTTCTAGATTAGTAGTTGTATTTCACAGGAAAATAATAGATGATATTTTAATCACAAAAAGAATGTGAGGTCGTCGATCGAAACTTGTCGGAATTGCTTAGACCTTTGACTCCGATTCAGGAAGACTGCACTGAAACTAGAGGAGTTTCCGTGTCCGCTACATACCCAGCTGACAACTGTGTCAGTCTGGAGACAAGTTGCAAACACTGGTTATGTCTCAACTGCCAAGCGGAAAACTGATCTGGACGCATTTGTCGGGAACAATCGTTTCGAAATCGTTCAAAGTGTGCCATTTTTATTCATATTTCTTCAAGCTGTTCTGTACGGTTGTTCCCGAGGTGCGGTAGCGTGGGCCTCGATGGAGGAATGTTCATGGGAATAGGCTGTATGGGGCAACAGAAATCACCATAGCGAAATAGACATATTTCTCGCCAGTCTCGTGACCATAATGAAAACCAGTGGTGCGTTACGCTTCACATTTTGAGGTCATCAACGATGATAACTACGATTTTCACATAGTTGGTTTGAATATCACTCGATGTAGTTTGCGGGTGTGGGGAGACTCAAATGGCGAAGCTGACTGTACATTACCCAGGCGTTTGGAACTCAAACAGTGCCAGTAGATAGTGATAGGGCGAGTGCTGATGAAAAAGAATGCGTTACTGATGAACCAATAAGCGATTTGGAGAAAACCACAAATACACAGCAATGAAAAACAAACCTGTCCTTCGAAATATCTTCACAGTTTGATGCGAACGTAAATGATATTTGAGCAGAACCACCTCTCTTCAAGCCGTACTAACTGCCCAATCATCCTGCCTTCTTCACCTGACAGGTAACTTGCTATTTTCTGCGTGTCTCAGTTGAGGATTAATTCGAAGGCTCAGTTTTATCCAAGGGACTAATTTTACACAGACTGATTTGCCGATCAAGTTGGGTTTAACGTGGATCTAACAAACGATTGATTCAGATGGGATCCCTTTATGTCCCTCCCTGCTTTTCAAATGACCGTTTTTCACCACTTGTATGCAGCCTGGTGTTCGTCTGGAGTGTCTGTTTGACGGAACATCGTGGACTGCGTGTGTTTGATGGTCCTCAAGGTGGGCGAATTCAGTTGTGAGCCGCTGGGGGAGTTTTCGGCAACCTTATGTGTAGTATGTTCTGACAAGAAACGGAACACTGTTTGACCGGAGCACGCATTGTCCAAGTTACCAAAAGAAGGTCAGCTTTTTCTTAAGGCACGTAGACAACATTATTATCTACTTTTATTCGGACATTCGGACTTAGACCGTCGCTGTCGATATTCAGCCAAGTGAATCAAGTGACCTGATAGCTCGCAACAGTTTTTGAACTTGGTTTCAGTTTTCGTTGTAGGCTATTCTAGAGAATAGCATGGAAGGTCAGAGAGTAGCTACTGAGGTTGCAAAATTTCGCAAATAAAATAAAATAAAAATCGTTCAGCTGTAGCACCCTTTCGATGCCTAGCTGCCATGCCACCGAAAGGTTCCACGGGGCCCAGAGAGGCAACCTGGCAGTATCTCAACCTGCCTCGAGAGGCAGAGGTCGGGTTCGAACCACGGACCTTCCGATCAGTAAATTCGCGCCCTAATCACTTGGTCCATCTCGCAGAAATTTACTGGACCCAGACTACAGGGGTTCATGAGGTACACCGAAGAATCATGGGGACATTTTAGGTGGCTGCGGGATTTTCATCCCCGTTGTTCGAACAGTTCTCCTTCCATTCTGACATGATTCCTCTGATGAGCTCAAACTGAAGGAGTCTCGCGTTTCGCTCTCATTAGGATTCATTAGCAGTGCATACCCTTGTCCCGAACCGGGTTTAAGTTCGCACTCTAACCACTTGGACCATCTCGCAGAAATTTATTGGACGCAGACTGCAGGAGTTCATGAGGTACAGCGAAGAATCATGGGGACATTTTGGGTGGCTGCGGGATTTGTAGAATCCACATTTTCATCCCCGTCGTTCGCACAGTTCTTCCTCCATTCTGATGAGCTCAAACTAAAGCGGTTTCGAGTTTCGCTTTCATTAGAATCCATCAACAGTGCATACCCTTGTCCCGAACCGGGTTTGATTTCTGTACGTCCGACTCTGAGGGTGATAACAACGCACGCTGAATGCAGCTGAATTATTCAGTCTTAACACAATTTTTTCGCTCCAGACAGCAATCGCTTGAAAGCCCATGAGTTCTACTCAAAGAAGTTCAAACACTTCAACATATTGTGATATGGAACAATTTACAAATCACATGAGGTCGACCGATTCCGTCGAGCACAGTCGTCATACACATGGCATCACTAAACAAAAATACACTCAGATTATTAATGTCAATGAAACAAGTGACTGATTGAACGGTTGTGAAAACGGAGGGTTGATGAGTATAAAAATACAGGACGAGGTTTTCCCAAATCATCGTTGGTTTTCACTCTGAGGCTGTACCTTTGTTGTCTCAGGGTCAGGATCTCGAGTGGGCGAAATTGTGAGTTTACGTGGCATACGGAGGGACCTGTGGATTACAGGAGTAGGATGATGGAATGTTATCTGATGCGGTCTGTGAAAAATCAGATGCGAAGTTCTATTACAACTAATGAAGGTAAATGAAAGTTTGACATACATGAACAGGTGTCGTATCACAGAGATAACACAACTATTCCCAGACCGGTGGTTAGGTCTGTGAGAGACGACCGTGTGCTTCGTATCAGATAAGACAGAGTTGCTGTCCACTGTCCCGGTTTATGGAAGTGAGCCGAATGTGAATGACTTTGAGTTTATTGAGGCATCTCTGTGTATGAGACTTGTCTGGATCGCGCAGAACTTTGCAGCTCCTGGGCAGGATTATTCTTCTGCTAACTAGCCCAAGTAGAGTTGCTGCCACTGTCCCGGTTTATGGAATTGAGCCTAATGTGAATAACTTTCAGTTTATTGAGGCATCTTTGTGTTTGAGACTTGTCTGGATCGTACTAAATCGGTCGCGCAGAACTTTGCAGTTCCTGGGCAGGATTATTCTTCTGCTAACTAGCCCAAGTGCGTCGCAACCCTCAAGAACGTTCCCCACGTTCAGAATACTTCTGCGGATGGGATGAATTTATATACCTGAAGCACAGTTGCATTGCAAGGAAGAGGATGCTGCGGAAAGACTGGTTCCTCGTGCAGAGTGGCTTTTCAGCTCAGTTTCCAGCCTGTGATTAAAACAACGATACTAACCAGTTTTGCCCTTCTTGGAACTCATCAGGTAGGTGCAATCCCCGAGTTTCCGTCAACGTATGTCCTACTTGAAACCAAATTAGTTTGCAAATGAGTGTATTTCACTAATTTCTTGGTTTCAAGTAGAACATAAGTTTGACGGAAACTCGGGGATTGCGCCTACCTGATGAGCCCCAAAAAGGGCGAAACCGCTCTTGGTTATCGACGAATTTTCAGCAGCCTTATGAGTAGTGCATTACGAATATACATGTATCGCGATATCTCGAATACGTAGCGACTGAAAGATAAGGTGGCGTGGTGCAGCACATTCAGTTGCCTGGAAACACCAAAACTGAGATATTCAGCTGGGTTCCAGATGAGTCTCTCGACAAACCAATTTAGTTAGCAAATGAGTGTATTTCGCTCATGATACTAACCTTTTAAACGGGAAAAAAACTTGGGAAACGGGTACCGTCTGGATTTTTACTCAGCAATTTTTGATACAAATCTGACTCTCAGCTACCACGTGAAAGTCTGGGGGTTAGTCCAGTGGGGCTTGGATAGCCACAAATTTACATCCATCGGCTTTCCAAGGTTCTGTTCAGCCTTCTGAGATCTTCTGCAGTCTCAAGCTGGTCGAATTCCTTAAAAACAGTCGGGAGTATGGACGTATGAGGAAAGCAGGGAGTTAGCTCGTTGTAATCGAACTGGCCCACTGACTGGCTCTTGGGACCTTAAGCAATACTATTTGTTCGACCTCTGTGTGCGTGTTCGATTCCGATCTACTGATGGTTGTGGTTGAGTGGAATACAAATGTAAGTTGTCTAATCAGCATAAGCATCCCCACTAGTTGTCAGTCTATCGACTCTGATCAACATTCTTTCAAGCGTATTTCTCAAAAACAGTCCATTTTGGGTTGAAGTAGAACGTAAGGTTGACGGAACCTCGGGGACTGAGCCTACCTGATGAGCCCCAAGAAGGGCAAAACCGGTCGTGGGCTGTCGAGGGGTTTTCAGCAACCTTGTGAGTAGTTTCCTTTGTGGAAATTCTCTCAAGCTGCTTCAGAGACCCAAGTAATTAGTGCAGTGTCTTAAACGTGTGTGTGTCTTAAACGTAAATACGTGTTTCTCCTGAAAAGTTACCCTTCTAAATTTGCGCAACATATGCAGGTAAACCTCAGATGAGTGAGCATGGAAACAAGGTGGCCTAAAGAGGGACCGTAGTTTGGTTATTTGCAAAGGCTATATATGTTTTGGTCAACGTAGTGAATAACAACGGCAACGCTGAGGGGATGGGGTTACCTGTTCAGTCTTATTCAACTTGGGTTCAAGCGGAACACAAAGTTGAGGGAAACTTGGTAACAGCGCCTACCTGATGAGCCTCAAGAAGGTTCAAACTGGCCGTGAGCTGTTTTCAGCGAACTTATGAGTACTGCGCTGCGCTGAGAAAATGTTCATCTACTTCCAAACTGTCACTACGGGATGTCTTGTTTGTAACGAGAATTGGCGAGATGGAATTTGCAAGTCACAATATTGCTTCCGGTAAGTGCTAGAATGACTGAACGGTAGTTTTTCTGTCAGCTCACTCTCGACTCAGTCAGCGTACATGCCAGTCTATCAGTGAATCGAATGAAATCTACGCTAAAAAGTGCTGCCTCATTTTTTGTCCGTCCTTCGTGCAAATCATCAGTTTCTCTGATTTAAATGGTTCCAAACAATCATTTGTCATGGTACATCCGGAAGTCCGCACGGTCGGAAATACAGTCATTCCGGAAACTGAGGATGAAAAACCGGTAGTGTGGTTTTGGCCTCACGTGCCCGAGCTAGGATCGAGAGCTGAGGATGAAAAACCGGTAGTGGCCTCACGTGCCCGAGCTAGGATCGAGACTGTTCAGATGATCTTTCAGAACCCATTATTATCATCTTCATCACTGAAAGTACTTTCAAGATCTTCTGTTATTTACTTTGAGGAGAATTACGTAACTTGCTAGTCATCTGACCACGGGCTACTAAATTTAGATGATTCAAAGGGAGAATATACTACTTCACTCACGAACTGCCAGGTCGAATGAATCTCTGTTTTTGCCCAGCCTTTTCACGTGGAATCTCGTCATCTTCCATTTCATAATAGAATGGTAGTGTCACTTCAGGCGGTAAAGAAGCGCATGGAGGGTGCAGTGTTGGGGAGAGTGGCGGTGAAAAAGCTGGACGTCCAGTTGCAATATACAGAAATTCCACCTTGGTGTCGCGAAGTTCTTCTGTTTTCTTTTTGGAGGGGATTTCATGCGGGCTGTATTCTTCAGGAGTCGGTTTTGTCTGGGAACTGTACCGTGCACACATATTGTCCTCATTGGACTCAGGGGTAGAATCTTTGAACTGACGACTTTGAGAACCAAGAAGTTCCGGACCAGCACTCATTCTGCAGCGGGAAATGGCGGGTTCACCAAGATCCGTCGAGTGAATCTCAGGGGACCCCTGTGGAGATGTGGGTTGACCATCCTCCTTGTCATTTTCGAAAGTTATCTTCTCAGATTGAGGCAAGTTTTCTTGACTGGGTGTGGAGGGTTTTGTTCTGTTTTCCCTAAAATCTTGGCTGTCCCTTTTCTCTTCTGTTTTCTTCGGGGAGGTGGTTGGAGAAGGGGAGACCAAAGTTGACGGGATGATTGTTACAAAATCTCGGGAAAGAACTTTCTCCTGGTCAGTATTTACCGAGTTTTGTCGGTTTGTCAATAGTTTGCTATGCTTGTTTGTTTGATGTACCGGATTCAAGCCATGGAGTTTAGCTTTCAGTTTGAGCTGGAATTGCTGTTGACTGTTTCGAAGTTTTTCTATCCATCTTTGCTGAAGTGAAAAAAAGATGAAGCGTTCTGATGTGGTTAGAATTTTGGATGCGATCTTCAGTTTTGCTATGCATTTTGTGCTGTCAAACTCACAAGTATGGCTTGAGAATTTTTAGTCTGTCTGTGTCCCTCTGAGTTTATGGACTTTTTTATTCATTTGGATAGCTGCATAAGTCATACCTTCTCTTTGCCAATTGAAGTCAACGCGTTCATTATCAGGCAGTGAGGAATATCTGAGAACTTGAGTCAGTTGTGAGTAGAATTCCACTGAATCTAAGGGACCGAGTTTACAGGGTGATTGCCAGAGCAGTCACGCTTTATGATTGTGAAACGTGGCCTTTCTGATCCGAGAACATCGTACATATTCATCAGTGCACTGCTAGTGGTGAGTACGCGAGTACTTGGTGACGAATACTGACCACTTGCGTTAGGGTGGTTGGGAACACACATGCCTAGTGACGGCCTAACAATAATAGCGACTTTCAACTCCAAAGCCTCGGTTGCTTTCGAGGAAGACCTCTTGACATGCAACACAAAGTAACAGCAACTGCCATCAAACTGAGCGCTGTGGCATCTTCGCACCCTCCTGGTTGGAGTCGGCCTTAGTCAACTTGCGCATGGTTAGAAGACAAAAAGGACAGGGTACGTAACCGACTCCAGTAATGTGGTTCTTGTGGAGTTTGCGGGAGGTGTATTGTTCAACTTCACACACATCTAGTTTTCCTGTCCTGGCGCAATTATTCTGGTGAATCCACATCACCAAAGGGGGGAGCACTGCACTCGAGTTTCGCTCTCATTAGGGCTCATCAGCAGTGCATATCCAATGGCCGTGTTGGGATTTGAACCCCGGACATCTGACATGCGAGGCAAGCGTGTTACCACTATTCCACCAGTGGACGTTGGATGCATCTGAATTCTCACGTCTGAAAGGGCGAACGTGTTCATTCTTGTGTGATGTGATTAGTATGCCCGACATGACGACCCAGTACCTGTTCTGGTCGTGACGATCGATTGGCGACCAGGTGTCCGGAGTTCAAACCCAGGGATGGCATTGGATATGCACTGCTGATGAGCTCTAACAAGAGCGAAACTCGAATCCAGTGCTTCCACCCCTTTGGTGTGGATTCACCAGAATAATTGCGCCTGGACAGGAGGATTACTGTTTAAACGAGAGTGATATGAAGTTGAACATGTGATTATTTAATAGTGCAACTGAGACTCGCGAAGGAATTCGGGTTACTCCAATACTGTAGCCATACCTTCATGGTCCCTGATCCGCTAAGATCATCCATTGATCTTGGTACTTGATGAGTGGTAACCCATTGCACTGTGGCGAAATACGGGGTACAGAAGATAGTCATGAGGGATCGGGGATCATATTTTGGGATTGATGTATTGAGGGATGACTTACCAACGGAAAAGAACTGAACCATTACAAGACGAATGGGTGAGAACCTCGTTTACATACAGTTTTTGAAAAGCGAACATTCCAAAACTCCCTACCGAACTTTCCAGAACACCGTACGTGCATTAAACAATTGTGAGAAAATACTGTCAAAAGGCTGTATAATTTCCATACCACCAATGCAATAGATGCGGGAATGACGCTTTGGCACCTGACCAGACACTACTCGCATGTTTCATCAGTAGTCTACGCAATTGCACAGGTATTTGTTACTGCAGTATTGCTGTGAACAATGACACTGACAGCTAAAATTGCTGTGGACACACTGTAAGTGCTCTAAGCTCATTGAGAATTCATATGCTCACCGATGGCATGCGTCGGAACGGAAGTCAGAGGTTTTTTCAGCAGTTGACCACAATGCACTGTTCTATCCTAATGTAGAGACAACAAGAACTGCATTAGACAATCGACCGTCCTTTAATCCAGCCAATAGTTCAACCTGTCCGCTTTTTTCCACTTTAATCAACTGCGCAATAAAAGTATTACCTTATTGGCCGTTCCGCTCTTTGTATTCAAAGAGGATTGCCTGAATCTCAGTTGGCTTGAAGGCACGATTGTTGCGGTTGGCTTGTGTTACCTAATGGGTCATCTGAGGCGGCAGGATTCGCTGCTCCGGGCAGTTAGCGGAAACATAAGCAACGAGATCTGACAACTAGCGACAGTAAAAACCCACTCGACTCCATGAGTAATAATAACGTGCTAAATAATTGGTACCGTGAAAGAAATTTTAAGTTTTAATGAAGATTTCGTCCTGTAATTGAGACTGACCAATAGTTAAAAGGAAAGAAGCGCTGAGAAGTTGTCAATCGAACAGCAAGTCAGCACGTGTCATCACGTGATCTACATCCCGTGGTTGAAGGATAAGAGATGAGCTATCCTGTCTACGCGCGAGCTATTCGACTACTAATCAACCACGGGCGAATGAATGGTTGTGTTCCCAACATCAGACAAGAGGTCGCAGTTTCAAGACCCCTGGGGATTTGTGAGATGATACCACTGATGATGATCCTTAAAGGTGGTAAAACAGCTATACAGTGCTTCCCGGAGTTTTAGCACAGATTGGTTTTACTTACAGGGAAGAACCTCCAGTGAAATTTCAAAATATCGACTCCACAAATTAACTAACATTTTTGCGAACAAAATCAAGGAAATGTTTTCGACCCAACGTGTAGGGTGCTAACAAAACTAAGGTCCTAAGCTACAAGGTGTCGAAGATGATTTCAGCATTTTTAGTAAAACCAAGCTTCTAAGTACTTCGGTATGAAAAACATGGTTTCAGAAGACAACTGCCTGAGTACGTGGTCAACTAAAAAAATTTTCCGTAGATGAGAACCTCCATTTATTGTATTTACTAGTTCTTCTTAAGCGACTGATTTAAACAAGAATGTACGATCTTATCACATTCACGTGCCACCAAGAATCGTTTGCTTCACACATAAACGCGGTCTTCAAATGGAACATACCTTGTCTAGTTCGTTTGATGCCTGCAGTGTGTAGACTCCAGTGATCTGTTGAAATCGAGTTATCAAAACGAGCACGATGGCATGTCGCAATCCGTTGGCTGTTTGGATGTGGAAAGGTAGAAGTGAGACTTGTTTTTTTTTAATGAAGACAACCAAGGAGATGACTTTGAGTCGTAGAATGGGCCTCCGCTATAACAGATGTATCCTGTCATACACACACACGCAACATAAAAACTGGGGGGACTAGAGTTTGTTTGAAATAATCAGAACAGTGCTTGTTTGTTGTACGGAAAAGGGGTCAAAATAGTGAGAACTAATCTCAAAATTGTTGAATTTCGTCGATTTACGGTTAGCATGAGTGCGGGTCTAGAGTATTCGAACGAGGCCATGGAACTGAACCCCAACTTGTGAAGAACGATGTCAAAACTTTGTTTGTGTGGGGTGCAATTATTTTGATTGTTTGTGCTTTTATCCTCCTTGTAGCACAGGTATGGTTCATGGATTTCTGATCTGCACTACTTTCGCCAGTAGATTTGTTAGTAGTCAATTCTAAACGTGAAAAAACACAAAGTTCTGCCTGAAACTGGAAGCTTCTCCCAGAAAATTTGCAGATCACATTTGGCCTTATAATGCACGATGGATACGAAAATCAATGTCGTGAGAAAAATTGAATGGATTTTACGTCTTGCTGCCTTTTATTGTTGACTTAATTATGGGAGAAAATCTGGGTCATAAAATTGATTTGTCTAGCTTTCTCTGAAGTGGGATAACGCAGCAAGATTTTGACATGCACGTAATCACATCTGAATTTTTCACATAAAATCCATATTAAACTCGGTAACCAGAGAAGTTCGAAAGCAAATATGCCATGTGAGAGTTTCATTTTGCTAAAAAGCATCCAAGCATCAGTTTGAATTTGTTGTAACGCACCCCCGTTCTTCTCGTGCAAAAATGATGAATAGTGATGAGAGTAACATATTGTCTGATTAGTATCTGTACAACCCATACAAATTAATGTGAGAATCAAGGTAGGGGAATGTGAACGGCTAGGCAACACAGTCCTACTACTCAGTCATTGGGAATTCATGTATGCTTATGAATCCAGCAAATTAATTTTTCTCAAACGCCAAAAAAGTATGTGACAAAGATGAATGGTAAGCATACGGACTTTCTTGAAAGTTGGGCATAACACCCAAAAAATACGCAACTATTATTCTTACCAGCGAGTCGTGAGGGTCATTTGAAGGGCAATAAACATTTTTTGTGGGATCAAGATTGACTGCTAATAGACTAATTATAATATAATGATGATTGTAGAACTACAATGGTGATGAAACGGAGGGGACGAGAAACAATCTACTTGGAGGCATGGAAGCTACAACTACGGAATGACGTAAGAACGAACTTCAATCAGCTGTACTCAAGAGTTATACGTAATGTTCTGATTCAATGGACCGGGAAATTCCCGAAAAAATTGCCAGGAAGGTTCGGTAAATCACACAAGACCTCGAAGTTTAACCCATAACTGTAATTTCCTCTTACCAATAAAGTTTTACTCAAGCTCTCTTATACAGAACTCTTCAGTATTCTTTCAGGCGTACGAAATTAGAGGGTGAAATGACAAAACTCCCTTATCCAAAAACCTTAATGAGAAGCAATCAGCCGTGGTGAGGAAAAGTGCCTTGTTTTTATTCATTGTATGTGAAATATAATATCTAACCAACACGTGAAGGGAGCTATCATATCAGAACGCCAGACTATTTATGATGAAACCAGTCTACCAAATACCAGAGGTGAATTGTCATCATCATCGATAGCATGACATCGGTGTTCAACACCGATGATTCACTGCCGTACAAACGTGATTTATTTGAAAGCCTTATTGTAGAGAAAAGAATAAAGTTGGACGGGAGAGGGACTTAGTGCTAGCTTACCACAATAACACTCATTCAGGCAATCTGGATAGAAACTGACAACAAGAATGCCACTGACATCGATGGCAGCCATATCTCGTAGTGTCTCCAACCAGGCACAGTGAGGATCACGCGGTCCCCATCCTGGAAGGCGGGTAGCACCGACAGCACCCAAGCGTTTCGTGATCTCCCTCATACTCCTCTGCCAAGTCAAGGGTTGGTCATCTCTCTGTTTACGCCACTCTGAGTTGGGCATGGAAAACAGCACTCTCTTCGGCAAACGATGGTTCGGCATGCGCAACACATGTCCCAACCAACGCAGCTTCTGGTGCTGGACACATTCTTCAATGGAAGTACCCGTTGCACAACCGAAGACACACTTTCTAACTGTCTCGTTACGGATTCGCTGACACCAACCCACACGAGCTATGGTCCTGAGACAACGATTGTCGAACACCTGAAGACGTCTCAGTTCCGCTGCTCGAATAGGCCAACTCTCACAGCCATACAACAAAATAGCCTGCACTATAGCTTGATACACACGTCCCCGTATTTGCTTTCCTCGGGCAATGAATCGATTCTGTTTAGGATTCACCATTCTGAAATGACAAGCGAATTTTTTGAGAATCCAACTTAGTTACTGGTCACTTCACCGCCTACAGATTGTGATGCCTATTTCAGCAAACTCTAGTCAATTTGCTAGTTTATAGTTTGACAAAACTGAGTTAAACCACACAGAAGTACCACCGGCCGAAAAAGCCAGCAGGAAGATCAATTTCAGATGCACGATGCCAAACTTACACAAATCAACATGAGCTGGTTACGATTTAAACTGGATTTAAAGTGCACTGGACCTTCACAGTGGTTACATATATGGGTTACGAATATAGCTCAGTCGGGCTGTCTCACTTCGACTGACGAAAACACCAGTTCAACTTTAGAGACAGACAAGGTTTGTAGGAATCCAGCCAATGACCCCCCAGTCAGAAAATCTACCGTCTCATTGTTAGTTTTTCGCTCACACGAGATTTATAATTTATCGGAAATTCATTCTGTTACGCATAGCCACATCACTTATTTAAGTATCATTTACCGTGAAGACTTTACCGGCAATTCAGCTGCGACACTACCAGTCTTCGCTCGCTGTTTGACTGTTTAACGCTGTAACAATTCCAGGTTACGTTCAGGTCCCCCTTTCAGTAAGATTTGCTTGATCAACTGTTCGAATAGGAATTCATGGGGATTCCATCCCAGTTCGCATCATAGTATACTCAGTTTACACTCAACATCCTCGAAAACGTGCGTGTACCACAAAGTCTTTTCCCTTTTATTTTTATTTTTTAATTTTCACTACTTGACTGCATCGACCGGTACTCGGGTGTCTTAGATTCACTGACTTAGGATCAGTAAGCAGGGGCGTTTGTAAAGATTCGTTACCAGAACGAAAGAAAATTAGATGGTCCGATTTAGCCGATGGGTCGAATAGATTATTCAAGCACTTCAGAGTCAGCGTTTGAAATTAAACGAAGATGCGAGTGGAAGGTTCATGTTACCACGCACATCCTTGGTTGATGTCGTTCCGGAGTGCCAACGCCATAAAGGATTGTCGGTCAAAACGTAGTGACATATATCATGAGAGTAATATCAAAATGAATCTTTCGGACGTTTGTACACATGAGGGTGCATGTAAGCCATACGTTTAAGCCTACTCAGACAGGTAAATCATATTTCTCGTAGCAAGCAACCAAATTGTTTTGTCCTGATTAAAACACAATCACAGAGTTCTTGCCAGGGACCGTTGGCACTAGGAAACAGACACGCATAATGAACCACAGTCTCAAGTACGTGATCAAAACTTCTCGGAACAGTACCTGATTTACATGCGGTTTCGACGTGTGCGAATGGAGTGGAGCATTCAACCGTGTTTTGTTCACCTAGCTTTTCATTGCGTAGAAAGTGTATTATAATCTTGCACACCTGCTGAGGATTTCAAATCGTGATTAGACACAAAAGACAGGCACAAAAGATAAAAAAAAACACACTAAGGATGTCCGATATTTACCTGATGCCCCCCGGGGTCTGGAAAACAAAGCCACATTCAGAAAGTTTGGCTATGGGTTTGCTTTTGTGTGAAACAAAAGGATACAACACAGCACACAATGTGTGAAGTTGTGTCATTCAGAGATAGATAAGGGGACATTCGAATAACGCCAGGAATTCGAGACTAGATGCCTCGGGAAAATTTCACATTGCTTTCAGAGCTTTGCAGGTCACAGATCGATAAAAAGGCGAGGTGTATGTGTGACACTAGAGATTCAGGACGCAATACGTCGCGAAATTACTTGGCGTTATTTGTTGGCAGAATATGCTTTTCCTCACTTTTCCTTATATTTCACGCAATATTCGAAAGACTGCGTTTGTTTTTTATTGAAAATGTCTCTGCTGGGGGCAGAAAATTTTCCCTACAGAGATCCTTCCATCTTCCACCCTCAAAACTGTAAAGTACGCACCATCATTTTGCTTTTTTGGCGTTGAGCTTTTCTTTGTATCTGGTGGTTAGATTGTTGACACGTGAGATCTTGGCAAAGTGGTTTTCTCAGGTTACCATTCTACGTTTTCACCGACCATCACCAATTAGTTTGATAGCAGTCTGACAGCCCATGGTGTAGAGGTTGACAGGCTGCTTCAGAAGTGATTAAGTACTGCAGTCTGTTTAGATCTGGAAGCCAACGCAGGACACATCTTGGCAGTATTCTTATGTCAATGAAGGGGACGTTTTGGGGAGCGATTCGCACACTTCAGCTAGAGGCTTCACCGCTAGAAAAAGGTCGGCCAAATTCCTGACACAAAGTAGGATCACCGGTCGCAAAAATGGACATTTTGGAATCAAATCATCAAGTGGTGAAAAGTATAAGTGCTCCATCTGTATGCCCAGTCTCCAATGCCGTAAACTCTCAGATGTCTGATCACACCTGCTCAGTTTGTGTACGCAAGGTTTTGCGGAAGAACATCAATTCTTGGCTAACATACAGAAGGGCACCACTTTGATCCTATCTAGGAACACAGATATCTTCGAAGTGTACGCGATTTGTCATACCATCTTCTTTCGATAGATTTGTTATAACAAGAACGATTCTAGACAAATCTGCCAGAATGTCCGTGTCTTTAGTTCCGTGTTAGCACTG